AGAAATCCTTCCAATAATCAAAGCAGTTGCTCATTTTTACATACGAATGTTTGTTTTATTTTAGGGTATGCTATGACTGGCTTCAGACTCCCTATCACTACTTTTAGAAAACTAAATGTCTGGTTTGGACTGTGGGAGAAATTCCCCTCTAATAAACTGTGTCTCTCTTGGAGGAGAAGTGTATTCTGTAGCTGTCAAGCAAGCACAGTGAACTACAGAAGATGTTTCAGCTTTTCCCCAGTAAAACTCTGTGCACTAAGACTTTCTCCAGAGTGTATCTCAGTACTTTCTCTGCGGAACAAAAGTAACAAAAGCTCTAAAAGGAGCAGACAAACCGTACAACAAGAAGAGGAAGAAGAGGATGAAGATGAAGAGGAAAGCGATTTGGAAGATGAATTTGAAAATGACCCCAACGTAGTAAAAGATTATAAGGATCTTGAAAAAGTTGTGCAGTCTCTTCGATATGATGTGATCATGAAAGCTGGTCTAGACATTGCAAGAAAGTAAGTACGGAACAAACAACCTGCTGATGAGAAAGATGTCATGTATCTAAAATTTTAGTTTTCTTACCCTTTTATTGCTGGAATGACTCAGTATTTGGGGGTTTTTTGGTGTACTGTTTTTGACTGTCTAAAAATACGTATTAGAGGTATGGGGTGTTCTTGTTTGTTTTGCCTTATCTCCCTTAAAACATCCTGTTTTCTGCTTTTCGCTGTCTGCAGTATTTCAAAGATTGCTGAGGAGGCATTTTCCTATCAATTACTATTTATTTAAAGTGAAGAAAACACAATATACTGTACTAAGTAATACAAAAAGATCTAACTTGAGATTGAGGGAGTAAAATAATATGCTACTTAATGGCTGTAGAAATAGGTGAGGGTAAGCATAAACCTAACAAACTAGGTCGAGGTAAATGTGCACTCTATAAATACATCACAATGTTTGATCTAATGCAACCTACAGAAGCCTTATATTGCAGTGTTAGAACAGAATATTAGTGTAACGTGGTCACTTAAAAATTATTAAACTGGCTGGTGCGGGAAAGGGGACATTATTCCTTGGTCTTTGGGAACCAGGTCTTTTTAGAAACAGCTTTTTATTGCTTGCACCTGTGGCACAGAGCAACTATAGTCTATTATTTCATTTAGTATCTGTGAAAGACACTTTCTTTACTTCTAGTTCAAGTCAGTCCTGACCTTAAATAAAGGTATCCTTTATGCGCAAATTAGAGTTGTGGAAATGTGCCTCGCACATGAATGGTGTTCTTGTGTATCTGCAAAGAAACAATTGCATTTGGTCTGCTGCACACTGTAAATGCAATAAAACCTTGTTTTTCTTCAGTAAAGTAGAAGATGCATTCTACAATAATGAACTCAGGCTGAATGGAGAAAAACTATGGAAGAAAAGTAGAACTGTAAGACTTTTTAAAATTTAAATCTCTTAATACACTACAAGAAAATAACTAAGGCATGACCTCTTCTTCTCCCTCCTTTTACTTGGGTCAGAAGAGATAACCGCTAAATCGCTCTGCAAAGGTGAATGAATAGCATTGCTAACACCACTTCCATCTTTGTGTGTGTGACCACTTCCCTGGGTAAGACGTTATTCCCTAAGGCAGACAGGAGATTTGTGGTATTAGAGAGTAAAAACTAAGGCTGAAAGTCAGGACAAGGCAGACGGCAGCAAGGACAGAACTTTGTAAGTTGCTGAAGGAAGTGCTGATAGATGTGAGGTTGCTGGAGTAGGAATGATTAAATCTTGGTGGAGCAGGCATGTGATTAGAGAAGAAGAGACAGGTTGATGATAGAAAGGGATTGAAACTGGGATAGCTCAGGAAAGGTTATTGTATCTGTAACAGAGCACACAGGAACAGTTAGCAGAAGAGCCAGAAGGGTTGCAGGCCATACTCTTTCACAAGAGAGCTCACCAGATTGGTGATAAACATACTTCTACCCCCTCTTTATATGAGGGTGGTCCTAGGTGCTGGTTACTGTCATCAAAGGGCAATAAGAAGAGAAGTTTTAATTCCTGATCCCCTGAAGTTAAGGCTAGTTTTTGAGAGGCGTACTGCTTTTGTGACTTTTGAAAGGAGCACAAGCAGTTGACCAGCACTCTGTTCTTTAAAACACTTTAAACTGTTTTAAAGGCAGGAGGGAGAACTTTGCATTTTGCTGGTTTGCATCTGTGTTGATACAAAAAGATTGGCAGGAAACACCCTTCAGGAAAAAAATGTACCACATTACACCTTTTTCAGAGTTAGGTGTCAGTTGTAGAACAGGAAGGGTAGAGCTCTTGGCAGAGAAGGTTATGAGATGTTTAATTGCTTATTGCTGGGGCTTTCCTAGGAAGTTCATAGCTGGACCCATCTACAATGGGTCTAGTATTGCCTGCCTTTCTCCTCTGCTGTGAGATAAGAATATTAGATGGAAAGAAAGGAACAAAATTAAAATTGGATATAGATTGCGGGGATTTGTTTTCCCCGGGGAATGTTTATAATCACTCATCTGCTCTTTTTGTTTCCAGGTGAAAGTCGGTGACACGCTGGATCTCATAGTAGGTGAAGATAAAGAAACAGGAACTGCTGTAGTTATGCGGGTAGTCTTAAGAAAAGTATCTAACAAAACTGAAACTGAAAAATACAAAGTAATTTTGAGGCGTTGGAAAAACTTAAAAGTACCCAAACAGGATGTACTTAAGTAACAGGGGGTTCATGTGGCAGCATAAGATTTTTGCAGAAAACCATATTTGTTGTTAAATATGAATTTTGGTTAAACAAAATTACAGTACCCTTTTTTAAGGGCTCATGTCAGAATGTTATCTCCCTCTGCTGTGTACATCAATATTCATACAATAAGCCTGTCACTTTTTGCTGTTAGTTTTGTTTCATGGTACTGTAGGATAAAAGATCCAACCCTTACATTGCCAGGCAGTTCCCTTACAGATGTTATAAATAATGAACCAATAAAGACTAATTTGATCACTGTTTAATTGCTGTCTAATTTTGTTAATCAGAGGTTACACTAAAGCTGACATCACAGCAAGCAGAACTGCTTTCTTAGTTTTGTCTCTAGATTTGTGAAACAGCGATAATAGGGATAAAAACCCCAATTATGTAAAATTGCTTCCTTTATCATTATCGGTTTGATCTTGGTTAACAGTACCATCTCCGTGCTTAACATACACTGCTGCTAGACCAAGAACACAGGAGGATACTGACTGCAGCTGCGTATTTCTAAGCAGGAAACCTGTACGGTGACGGAGAGTGCATCATGGCAGGGATACTCTGCTCTCATGGAGAAGGCAGATCAGTGAGGAGATGTGTGTAGCACTGCTGATTTTTACTGCTTAAGTAACCGTGCAGAGGACAGTGAAATCTCAGTTTGTCACATACTCATTTCAGGGTGGCATTTAAGAGAATATATAATACTTGGGTGGTGTAAAGATCTGAGCGAAGGTCAGACCATGCTGTGATGAAAAGCTCATGTCTGTATTGCTACAGGAAAATACTGTCACTTTAGGCCAGGCATCTCAGGAGTCACCGCTCGCACTTGTAACGTTGAACATATGCTTCTCCCAACACAGGCAACTTGTTGGATGAACTGTGGTGCAGACAGAATTTTTATTCTGTTTATATGTTTATAGACAGCCACATGCAGGTGTGTGTCTACAGGAAAGCTGGCCAGTAGGAGCAGGTAGCTACTGTTACCCAGTCCACAGTCTGCTCCCTATCTAGTCTGCAAAGCCCAGAGGGGAGAATATAGCCCAGAATAAGCAGCAGAAGCATATTCCAGGACACTTTTTCTTTGGTGTTCCTGAAGTCTAAATGGGCAGGCGAGAAACTTGCTCACAAAGCAAACCTAGTGCTCTGGTTAAGCATTGGACTATCAGGTACACATAAAAGCTGTGGTAAAGTAATGACTGGATTTTCACTGCATAAACTGCCTCTGAGGTGAGAGGAAGCAGTGGTGCTCACCTGGTTAGGAGCGCATGGGAACTGTTGGGCTCAGCTGCCAAGAGCTGCTGGATGACTGCGTTTAAGTGGGCTGTACCTGCTGCTGTCCATAGCCTTGGAAGTGGGGGCTGCTGAGTGTGGGATTTAAAATAATTTCTAGCTTTCTTCAGGCATAGCTACAAATCTGTGCTGTTCTAGGCTTTTTTTAATGATTGTGTAGATGTTGAAAGATGTAGACAGATGTCTAGTTAATGGTTCAGAGGCATAGTGACCTTTTAAAAAAATTGGTTCTTAAAGAGGACGTGATCCCGGAAAGGTTTCCTAGGGAATTTTGGTGACCCTTACGCTGTGGAAGTGAACAGCATAGCAAGCCCCGAGAGGAACACCGCACGTTGTACTTTCACTGCAGGCATTGCTGTCTCTGCTGTATTTGTTGGAGCTTGCACCAATATCCTCTGTTCCCCAATTCCACTTACCATCGCTATTTTAAGTGGCTCCCACAATTGCCAGAGATGCTGAGAGAAATGAGTAGAAAGATGTGTTACAAGTAATATGTCAGTGAGCTCTAGTTGTTGGTCAGCAACCATTCGTTACCTGTCAAATGCTTACCAGTACGTACAGTCACACTGCCTGCAACCTCCAGCAGGAGCAGCTTATGCACCACAGCTTACAGGGCCAGAATAGGACCCCACTCGTAAACCTCAGGAATGCTTTGGGGCTTGGGGATAGCCAAGGTACAGACGTGAAGAAATGAACTTTCTGAAAGGGTCTGTTCCGCCTGAGATAAAACCAAGAGCAACAAAAAAAGCCAACACCTGCCTGGCATCCAAGATGGGCAGGAAAGTTGCATCCCTGAAAGCCGTTGACATAAGAAAGAGCACAGGCAGGGTAATTTCTTGAGTTGGGCAGAATATGAATACAACATTAGGCCAAAACCTTAGATTTGAACTTCTGGAAAAGCCTATTGGGAAGTAAAGTAGATGACAGCTTGCAGTAAAGACCTAGCTCTCTCCTAGTGATGATGGAGAGAGACTTCTCTGCAGTGACAGAACAAGGGACAATGGTTTTAAACTGAAAGACGGCAGATTTAGATTGGATATAAGGATGAATTTTTTACAGTGAGGGCGATGACACACTGGAACAGGCTGCCCAGAGAAGTTGTGGATGCCCCATCCCTGGAAGTGTTCAAGGCCAGGTTGGATGGGGTTTGAGCAACCTGGTCTAGTGAAAGATGTCTCTGCCCATGGCAGGGGGGGGTTGACTAGATGAGCTTTAAAGGTCCCTTCCAATCCAAACTATTCTATGATTCTGTGACTGCCACCAAAACCCAGGTCTTCACTGACAGACAAAGGTGGAAACAGGCTTTCATAGGTTTTAAGTGTTGATCCACTAGTGGTATCAGCAAAGTAAAGGAAAAGAAAGGCAGGCTTCCTAAGGAGTCTTGTGACGGGTGAGAGCAGCCTCTGTGGATTCAGGATGGAAATGGCTGGAGAGAGAGCTGTACCCGTTGGCTTCAGAAAAGAAAGCTTCAGTCACAGGCAGGGTGATCTCAGAGGAAAACTATGACAGCAGGAAGGTGAGTAGCTGTTCCGCTTGGCTACATTGATCTGTCCTGGATAAGCTGCTCTATTGATCAGACCCTTTTACTGGGGCCTGGCATTGTTGAGCAGGTTGTGCTTGTTTCTGCAGCCTTTAAACATTTGGACTGTGAGCTAAAGAAAGGCAAGGTTTGGTTAATGACTGACGCGAGTGCCAGGTGAGCAGAGCCAACAGGTGTTCTGGGAGGTACAGGATCACACACATCACAGCCACAGTTTTTGCCGGCCCTTCGGGGGGCTTTCAGACCAGGTAGGCTCATATAGACTGTTTATGTAAAGCATACGTAAACTTATCTGGGAATCAGCTGTGCATCGTCCCTTCATCAGCCATGAATTTAAGGTGATGGAGTCCATCTGATAACGTGGTCAAGCGTCTGGTCAGATGACATGGCAAAGTACGATGAAGTGGTCAACAAAAGTTTTAACTACGTTAAACTACGCTTAGCAACGTTATATGCTGCAGCATCTGCTGCGCGTGGGCCAGCCTATGTTATGGAGCAGGGCACGGGAGGATCCTGTGAAGGAATTGCGGGGAATTGCTCACACAGGAGTTGGACTCGGGTCTGGCAGAAGAGTCAGCCTGGTCAATTAAAGCAGGCACGTACCGACACTCCTGAATAGGTTCCGAGTTCTTCTGCCTACAGATCAACACAGAGAGAAGGGGGTTATACTCTGACCTCTCTGGCCCCCCAAAATAATAGGCAATTCTTTTTTCCGTAGAACAGAAAAGCACCAAAGTGTTTTTGGGATTGGTTTTTTTTGTTGTTGTTGTTGTTTCTTGGGGTTGGTTTTTTTCTGTAATGGCACGTCAGAACAGGACAGTCTACCTTCAGCACCTACCAAATTACAGTGCTCAACAGCCTGTGCAGGCCAATTACAGTGGTCACTCTATGATGGCATGCATAGGGAAAGGAATGCAAAAGGGGGGTTGTGAGGGAGCCATGTAAATCTGAGTACTGCTGAAGGTAAAAAATTCTTCAGTTTCCAGCACTTGAGTATTCAATGCACATATAGACAAGCACTTCAAGGAGATCCTGGTTTTTTTTTAATTCTTGGAACGAGGAGAAACAGGGAGCAAGAGAGACAAGGGACAGCATTACATGACATAAAACCCAAACTCCTAGGTTTTATACAAGGGATCAGATCTCAAATGTGGGATGTGAGCCTATTGAGTGACTTGTTCCTGCTGCTGATAGGTACCTCGGGATTTGCTTTTCACAGGAAACATTTGTAGACCTTGCTAACACACCACCTTATGAGCTAACCAAAGCAGTACATTCCTGAAAGTGTAAGGATTAAAGGAGTATTTTGTCTCCCAGAGAAGTGAGCACTAAGACAACACTACAAAATGCCTCTGGAAACAATGACAAAGGGTTGTTTCTATCTGTTAAGACAAATTTTAGTGTGATTGGATACATGGTGATTTTGCCCATTTTTTTGTCTGGGAAGTCAGGCTAAATTTTTAAAAAGAAAATAAGGAAAACCTAGTAAAAAAAAAAACAAACACAGGCTTGTTCTATCCATGTTTGTCTTTGGCGGGGGAGGGGAGGGAGAGAAAGGGGAGAAGTAGGAAAAGAACAGGTCATATTCTCCAGAACAGCTTTATTTCCCTTCTATTATAGCTCTTCCCTTCCTCTGAGAATCAAAGTTCTTATTTCTGAATTGTTAACGAAAGAAAAATGCTCAGTGGAGACCACAGCCCCATCATGGAACAGATCAGGAAACGGAGTAAGCAGGTGGCCTGCCCACATCACAGGCTTTCTGGCCACTAACTAGAAAAGATGTGTGCTGGTTCTGGCTGGGATAGAATTAATTTTCTTCACAGTAGCTAGTATGAGGCTATGTTTTGGATGTGTGCTGGAAACAGTGTTGATAATTCAGGGATGTTTTCATTATTGCTGAGCAGTGCTTACACAGAGTCAAGGCCTTTTCTGCCTCTCACACCGCCCCGCCAGCGAGCAGGCTGGGGGGGCACAAGGAGTTGGGAGGGGACACAGCTGGGACAGCTGACCCCAACTGACCAAAGGGAGAGTCCATACCATAGGATGTCATGCTCAGCATATAAACCTCAGGGAAAAAGGAGGAAGGGGGAGACACGTTTAGAGGGATGGTGTTTCTCCCAAGTAACCGTGACAGAGCCCTGCTTTCCTGCAGATGGCTGAACACCCGCCTGCCGATGGGAAGTAGTGAATGAATTCCTTGTTTTGCTTTACCTGCATGCAAGCTTTTGCTTTACCTATTAAACTGTCTTTATGTCAACCCACGTGGTTTCTCACTTTCACCCTTCCGATTCTCTCCCCCATCCCACCAGGGGAGTAAGCAAGCGGCTGCATGTGGCTCAGCTGCTGGCTGGGGTTAAACCACGACAAGATGGCATCTAGAAAATGACAAAAATGAAAAGGAATATGCTGGATAAAAACAATACAGCATAA